GGATCCGAGCCCTAAACCACCAAGCCAACGTCAGTGAGCTCAATGACAGGGATGTGACCAGATGGGGGCCTTCTACCCACCTGGGTTAAGGAATCAGGGAGAGCCTCCTGTAGGAGGTAGGTTCCAACCTGAACCTTGAAAACTAAGCTGGGGTTTTCCAGGTAAATGTGGAAGCCTCGGAAATGAAGGAAGCAAGGGAAGACATTCCGGGTAGAGGAGGCGGCCCAGGCAAGGGCGAGGAGGTGAGAAGCGTGGCGGGCTGGAGCACGCAGGGTCAGCCGGAGTGACAGGCCTGCATCCCCCGGGGGCTCCCACCACATCAGCTCTGTCTCCCCACACCTTGTTAGTAGTGTATGTCGGTAACATCTGCCATGCTCTCTCCTTGAGGAGAGGAGGGGGCGGGGGCGAGGTGTGCTGCATGCTCTCCCCTTCGGGTTTGGGGGCCAGGAACACAGAGGGGGAAGGAAGCCTGAGCCAGCGGGCCATCAGCTTGGCACTCCTTGGTGGGAACATTTCGCGAACATTGAGGTCAGGCAGGAGGCAGGACATCTATGACCTTGATTCTACATGTGGTGTTCAATGTCACGGTGAGGAGGGGCTCGCGGACTCAAGGATCCACTTGCCGTCTGTCTCAATCAGCCCAACCGTCCCCTTGGGTGGGGAGATAGGGCCATGAGCTCTGCATTTAGGTAAACTGAGACACAGAGAAGGTAAAGCAGGTGCTGAGGGAGAAGGGTGCTCAAAGACACACCTTCACGGCCTTTTCTTGATTTCCCTGTCAAGCCCAAGACCAAGGCTCCTGTGCGTGTAAAGTCTCCTTGGATAAAAAGTTTAATGTCCATCTGTTTCAAAATCAAGAGGATCAAGGTTGGATTAACGCTCATATCAAAGGCCTGACGCTAGAACAGAACTCACTCTCTTCAAGCACTTGTAGATATTCTGAGAGAAGCATTTCCTTCTCTCAGGAAGCTGGTGGGGCGGCCACGGCAGCCACGGCGGCCACGATGGTCCCCCGTTACAGATGAGGAACCTGAGGTTCAGAGAATCTAAAGGACTTGCCCCAGATCACCCCGCCTGAGAATGGCAGAGCTGAAATGGGGGCTTGGGTCCTCAGACCCCAGGTCTGTGTTTTCTAGAGACGATACCCACAGCCTCTCTGTGGAAGCTTCCAGAGGGTCTCAGGGACGTCAGCTCCCAGCGCCACCGCTCACTCCCGGGCCTCCTGCTCCTCACCATCTCCTTCCACAGGGACTCACCACGTAACCCACAAAGATCCCCCGGGATCATCAGCCACGGGCTGCACCCACCACCAAGCAATTAAATAGGGCAGCTGTTTCTCAGACCATACCCTGCATGCCTCTGAATCGCCTGGATCTCTTGTTAAAATGCAGTTTCTGACTCAGCAGTCTGGGGCTGGGCCTGGGATTCTGCATTTTTAACAAGGTGAGTCCAAGGACTACACTTTCGATAGCAAGGGGGGACCTGTCGGATCACTTTAAACACCCACCTGCCTGGTCTGTGGCCAGCACCCCAACCCCTCTCTCTACCCCACCGTCCCCCTCCCTCACCATCTCTCTCCTGAGACTCAAGGGTTAGCTTTTGTCTCCAGAGGCACAAGGAGAGTGTTTTGGGGCACTGTGGGGCTGCTCCCCACACCCAACAGCACAGGGGTTGAGAAGCCTCTGTGGGTACCACCTCCCCCACCCCCTGGGCCCTGCAGCGTGGCCAGGCTGGCCCTCTCCCGCCGGCCCGGAATGGAGGGTGGAGGGCTGCCTGTCCTCCCCTGCAGTCCTCATTGAAATTTTGCCCTTGCCCTCGGATCCTTGGTTGAGAGCTCATCCCTATTAATTCTCATTGTGCATTTAGAGCCGATAGGTTTTTATTTATTCATTTATCTTGGTCTTCTCCTCCCTCCCCTTCCTCGCCAGGCTGGAATTTACAATTCAGTTCTCAGGTGGCCTTGGGGAAGGACGGGAAGCCTGGCGGGAGGGAGGGTCTGCACCCTGAACCCCGAAAATGGTGGCTGCTTCGTGGCCCCCCCTTGCACCCTGGGGGTGCTCCAGGGCTCACACTCCCGTTGGCTGGATGTGGGGACAGGTCCAGCAGTCGCCACAGGGACCCACTGGGCACTGGCCCGGCTAACAGGTCAGTGGGTGGCTGGCTACCATTAGGGCGCCCCCTGGTGGTTCACACCGCCAACCATGCCTGCAGGAGTCCGAGCTCCCTGACCAACCAACGGTAGGCCTGCTGCCCAGAGACTAGAAATACAGGGCGTGGTGTCCTGCAGGCTGGACAGAGGCAAAGAAGAAAAGCCAGGGACACGGCTGAGGGCGTTCTAACAATAATAATAAGCTCATAACACCTACTGCACATTGAGCACCTACTGTGTGCCAGGTCGCTCCCCCTGGCCAGCCCTTTGCCCTGCATACAGTATTATCCTTTACAGGGGAGGGAACTGAAGCTCAGAGAGGGGAGGCCGAGCCACCTGGTGAGTAAGCACAGGCTCAGGCTGAAGATAAGTTGCCCGCCCCCCCTCAACTGCCTTTGAAACTGAGTGACCTTGGCAGGATTTAGGCAACCCCGTCTAATCCCTAAAACAGGATTAGAACACTGCCCACCTCAGAGCATCCTAGAGATGATTAAACGAGACCCACACAGGACCTGCTCAGGGGAGCCTGCACGGGGGTTTGAATCTATCTGGATGTGACCCCCCCTGCCCCTGCTCCCTGCAGAAGCCAGCACCCCCTCCGCCTGCCAGGCACAGTCCCCATTCTTGTTGGCCGCACATTTGTAATCAAAGGCAGAGCGGGATGGCAGCCTGTAATGAAATATTTAAGTCCATCAGACAGGTGTGGAGACACTGAGGACCCACCTATGTGGGAGATGTTGAAGACGCTACTCTTCTCCTCCTGTCTTCCCAGGAGAGAAGGGGTCCCAGCTCCTCCCGGACCCCAGTGCTCAATGACACCTACCTGGGCAGGTGGGGTAGCCTTAGGATTGGGGGGTGGTGACCACCCCACCCTGGCAGCTGCCCTGGGTCCTCCCTGTGAGAGTGGGTGGGGGCAGGGCAGAGGTCCAGAGCTAAGGGCATCCTGAGCCAGCTTTGGCCAGGAGAGGGCCTCAGACTCGCATCTGATGACCATCTCCACCCCTCAAGACCTCGACCAGAAGCTGGTCCAATGAATTATGATTTAGCTGCCCTGTCCCACACCCTTCCCCCCAGTACATTAAGGCAATGATTAATATTTAAGAGAAGGAATACAGTCAAGACTCTAATATGAGAGGCAGAAGTTGATGGTTCAGGGAATGTGTAGAGAAGTCTTTGCCTGAGCTGGGCTGGGTTGCCAGCCTAATGTTCAGGCTCAGACCTGGCCTCCACTCCCCCTCCTATCTCCCAACCTGGCCTTGCCCCTGACCTTCAGGAGCTAACCCCCTTGCTCATCCCTGAGCCAGTGAGGCCCTGGGATCCCCAGTGCAGTGGTCCCCAGGAGCTACCCAGCAACCCCCCTCTCCCAGCCCTGTGTTGCCTTCTTCCCTCCCTCCCCGCCCCGCCCCCCCCAGCTGGCTCTCTCGGCCCAGCCGCCATCCACAGTGACAGCCTCACGACTGACTGCTGACTGTCCAAGCGGGAAGCTACCTTCCCAGGCTGACTGCTCTGTGATAGGAATGCAGCTCCCCATGGGCCTGAGGCGTCCTCAGGAGCCCCGTGGGGATACCTGCTCAGTCCAGCCATAAGCCCAGAGACCCGGAGGCTCCATCAAGGACACATGGAGACAGCAGCTACCCCAAAGATGACGATGAGCCCCTCCCATCAGCTCCTGCAGCCTGGCTGCTCGGCCCAGCCTCCTGCCGGGCACAGGGGTGGGGGTGGGGGGTCCAAGGCACTGCCAAGTGGGAAGGCCTCTCTCGGCAGGCAGCTTAGCTCAGTGACTTTGGAGCCAGACACTTGAATCACAGCTTTACCACTTCCTGGTGGGACTTTGAGCCTCAGTTTCTCCATCTGTACAACAAGAATGACAAGAGCTATGGGGCACTTGCTATGTGTCAGGCCCTACTCAGCATTTTACACGTGTGAATCAGCTCACTTGCCCCTACAGTGCCCACTTGACAGACGGTGGAATAGAGGCCCAGAGCTGCCACTGGTTCAGAGCCCACCCCCCAAACTCCTTTATACAACAGAGAATCAGCCTGGCTGGGCTGACGGGGGGACTTGCATAGCAAGCTCTTAGCCCACACGCAAGGGGCTCCCATGAATGGTCCCGGCTATTATGACCACTGTTGTTGTTGGTAACACTGACTACCGAAGTAGTCCATGGCTCCAAGACCCCATCCTTCTCTACTTAAGGGCTCAAGTGACAACCCCTGAGCAGCCGCCGTCCCCCTGTCTTAGCCGGTGGCTGTAGTCACTGCACATAGGGGTGGGGTTGAAAAGAGAGCCAGCCACACCGTCCATTCTGGTCTGACTCTCTCCTCCCACCCTTATGAATCCCCCCTGCACATCCATCAAACCTTCCCCCGCAGAGTTCCAGCTCGGTGCATGGCATACGCTGACCTGGCAAAACCGTCTGCTGGATTGGATCAGGTGGGATAGGACGTGGTCCCGCAGAAGGGGTGAACTCTTTTGCAACATTGCAAAGAGTGCCCTGCTCCCTCGCCCAGGATGCTGACTTCCTGACTACGGAGGCGGGGCTTGTCTGCGCCGGCCGGCCCAGGAACTATCACTACCATGGTCTTCCCAAGAGAAAACGATCTGGTGGTCAGCTGGTCAAGAAGGTACCCATCCCAGAGAATGACGTCACATGACCGCAGAGCCCTGGGGGTGGCCTTTGCTTTGGCACTGCTCCAAGGTGGGACAGCCATCTGCTCCCAATCCGAGATGCGGGAAAGTCAACCTTGCATCTGGTCCTCCCATTCTGCTCAGCCATCACCAGAGTCTGTCCCAGACCCCCTCCCCCTTGGCCTGAGCAAACAGAACAGCAGGGAGGGGGGTGTTGACTTACGTGGGAGCAGAATCTCTCCGGGGGGTCTCCGCACGTGATGCCTGAGGGCTCCACCTTCACCTTGACGTAGTCCTTCAGCCGCATCACCTTGGGCTGGCAGGCGTAGAACTCCCAGGTGGGGCCCTCATCCGTGGTCACCCAGGATTTGCAGATGTCGTAGTCCCCAGAGGCCAGTGGGAGGCAGTGCAGGAAAAGTGCAAGCAGGTGCAGCATGGCTGCGCAGTCTGCAGGGGTGTGGCCCAGAGAGGCCCTGGAGAGGCAGCAACTGGGTCAGGCGGGACTCTCGGCCTTAGCATGGAAAGTGCCACATCTACCAGGCAACGGTGGCTGGATGTCCCAGGGACTCGAACATGGCCGGGTTGCAAAGAGCGAGGAACTTGTTTCTTCCCAAAGGCTGACTTGGAAAACTCAGAGCCAGCGTTTCTCAGACTGCTGATGGGCAGATCAAAAAGTTGCCCGTAACTTCATGTCCTCCTAACCTTGGCATTGCACCTCTCCCAGAGGTGAATCTGATCAAATCAGGCAGGCTCTCAAATTGTGACAGTGGATGGAAATGGGATAGGGAGCAAATCCTCAGGGATCTGGCATGAGGCCGGATCAGATTGCTTTTAATTTTTGTCCTTCCAATCAATCCAGGTCTTTAAAGGGCCCTGAATGTGTGATGTGCTCAACACAACTGCAAAACAACCCTCCAGCCTGCATTGTAAAGATAAAATAAAATCAGGAGGTGTACGTGTTAGCTGGAAACATGTTCCCTCTATGGGACTGGGCTGGCATCTCAGACCAATAAAAGAGATTTCTTTTCATGTGGGCTTAAAGTGACAACAATTGTGTGGCTGGACTGCAACATAAAAAAGCGACTGAGGTTTTTAACTGGGGAGAAGCTTATTTGGCTCTGCTTTGTGGGGACAGGCACTAATGGGGGCCAGCTGACCTTGGCTGGTAGCCATCGGCAACTTATTATGAAGTTTCTGACACTTCGGCTCTCAATCCATCCAGGTACCCCGGGGCTGGCTTGTCTTTCATTGTAAGAGGGGAGGAGAGAGAGCTCATTAGCAACAACACCTGCAACAAATTAAAAAGAGAAGGGGGGGACGATAAAGATGTATAAGAACAAAAGGTCTCTGGCAAAATGTGCAAAAGATGAGGCTGCATTAGCAAGGTCTCCCGAGAAAACTGGGTTATTTTTATTAATATCAGAGTTGCACATTTGGAGATTGGGCACATTATTTAAAAGGTGACTCGCTTTTCTCCCCCTCTTTTCTGGGGGTGTTAGGGCAGCAGAAGTGCTGCTTGGGGTCACCGACTTCCCAGGACACGCTCAGGGGTCAAGATTGAGTAGTGGCTTTAAATACCGTGACCAAAAAGTCAAAATGCCAAAGCTCTCACCACAGGAGCCGGGGAGCCTGTACAGACAGGTACAGATCCGAGTGGGCGCCAACAAGTAAGAACCGGGTGCTGATAAGTCTCTCCCCAAATTCTGCAATGGTCAATTTAATTTTCAACGCTAAGAAACTAGGGACAGTGAGGACTTCCGCAGAAGTGACGATGGTTTGTCATATTAGATTTTTCTGATCAAGGCCAAAATTTTGCACACCCTCTTCGGAGGGTGTGTCTATAAATGAGTCCCGATTATGATTATTGCTTTACTATTTTAAGCTACTGATAATTATTTAAGAGCCCAAATAGCTATAACTGAGACAAATGTTACTTTGCAGAAAACATGACTCCAGTAATGTGGTGTGTTCCCAGACACTGGATACATCCCCAGGAGAATCTGAGTCCGGCCAGTGTGGGATCCTGGCCAAAAATACTAGCCAATAGGGCAAAGGTTATGCAATGAGTCACGGAAGAAGCACCCGCGTTATTAATTTTTCTGATTATTATACCTATGATTATTGCCTCTTAATCCCCAAACTGCTTCGGCATTGCTGCTAACCTCAGCATGATTCTCACCTGACACCTTTTTGGGCCACATTGTACACGGATGAGTCCCTGAAGAGTTAATCACGTTTCCATGAAACCCATTCTCGCCCCAGACACAAACACACTGCTGCCAAAAATGACAAACCAGGGAAGTGGACATCGTCCAGAGGGGGCTGGCCCCTCACCTGGGCTGCCCGAAGAAGCCCCCCGCCAGTGCCCCATGCTCCTGGTCAGTGGAGAGGGGGGGAAGGAATCATAAATCTGCATTAAGGCCACCCCTGCCCCCTTTCTCTGGCTGAAGGGCTCTGGATGGAGATGAATGAGGAACCGAGGGGGGACCACATTTTCACTGCTCACCTCTGGCTGTTTAAAGAGAAACCTGTTATAGAACCTGCCTGGCCTTGAATGGGCTCCTTTCTAGAAACTCTCAGAAAGAACCCGCCTGGCGACTATTTTTACAACCTGAGAAAATGTAGTAAAAATAAAATAGCGCGGCCGGCAAAGGTTTGGATGCCTTTACCCAAGCTTCGAGCTGCCCAGAAAACAGCAGGTCCCTAATTAATTCTTCCAGCCGAGGACTCCCAACTGTTCACTAACAGGTAGGGAGCTCCTGACGGGAGGCGACACCCGGGCGCTGGCTGTGGGCTTCCTTCATCTGCAGGACGAGCGGCTGCTCCGGGGTTGGACCGCGCTGCCCGACTCACAGGCGCCGGGAGGCAGCGAGGCCGGGAGGCCGGGAGACCATGGAGAGCCAAGTGCGGAGCAACTCGAAAATCTTTGCAGTTCTTTTGGTTTAAATGCCGCCCATTCCCTGGAAAATGGGGTGTTGGGGGGGTAGCCAAGAACAACCCAATCTGCTGGGGGCGGGGTAACCAATGTGTTTACAACTAGTCAATCAACGGGGCGTTGCTGGTATTATAGGGAGAATTGTGAGCTCAGCAAGGGAATATTACAGTCGGCTTCTGCCAAAAAGAAAAACAAAAAAAAACAACACACACACACACACACACACTCACACACACAAACAAGGAGGGAGGAGAGAAGCAAGAGTGTCCGGAATAACGAGGCGGAAAGCCGGGAGTGAGAAGCCAGCCAGGGAAATTTCAGAGTAAGAGGTTGTATCCCGGTGGATCGTTTTCTCCTTGGAAAATAAATCTTCACCTGATATTATTAAGAAACTGCAGCTCCCAGAAACAAATAGAATCAATGCGCTTTATTTCTTTTAAGAGTCCTCAGGAACCGAGGGGGGCTGATAGCCAGGGTATTAAAACCCGAAAATTAGATTTTACCAGGATTTCTGAACTCCGATTTCTCTGTCTTATTGAATTAGCGCCTCTCGGAGCTGGCTGGGCTCGGAGCAGGCTCCTCCCGGAGTTGCCGGCTGCGCCCTCGCCTCGTGGGAAACTTGGCGCTGTGGGCGCGGGGCCCCCGGAGGGCACTGGAGGAGGGGTACCCGGGGCTGCCCACCCCGCGGTTCCGTCTCCCTTCCCATCGGGGGCAGCCGGGCTGAGTGAGATCTGCCTTCAAGGGGGTAGTGCCCGAGGAGGGCTAGGAAGGAAAGGGGAGCCCGCTGCGGCCGGTCACCTTCCCGCCCTCCACCCCGGGCCGGGTCCCCGGGGGTGCTCCGGGCACCGCTGGCTTAGCTACCCGCGACCTGGGTGCCCCCCAGCCCTGGAACAGCAGCCCTCTCAGCTCCCGGCGTCCCCCACGGCCTCTTGGCTGCCGGGGAGCCCCGGAAAGTTGAGGGCTGGGGGGTGGGGCGCGAGAAGGAGGCCTCGGCTGGGCGCGGGGGGGTGGGGGTCGGTCCTGGCTGGGCCGAGGGGTCGGGGTGGAGTCCGAGCTTTGGGTGGGCTGCACAGGGGCGTGCATCGCACACGGGCGTGCCCCCCAGTTCCGCAGTTGCGTTTTGTCTTTCCCAAGTTGAGTGCAAGCCCCGGCAGCAATTAATAAGCACTCCTTTAATAAAGGCCCCTCCGGCACCGAGGATGCCCCCCCCCACGTTGGCACCGCCTCCCTCAATTAGAAGACACCGAGCAAAGCGCCCGGGAATTAGTTGCCTTCTTTGTCCCGGCGCCGCTTTCCAGCAGCGCCCGGCCTCCGCCGCCCCCCGCCCGGGCGGGCAACTTACTCGGAGCGGGCGGACCCCGCGAGCCCACGGTCCTCTTCCCGCCTTCCCGCTGCCTCCGCTCCCCCAGTCTGCGCGCCGCCCTGTTCCAGGTTCCACTCCGCACGTCCCCACGCCGGTCCCTGCTCATCGCCCTCCCCCATTAGCCCACCCCTCCACCGCACGGAAAGAAGTTTCCAGCCTGGCTGGCCAAGAGTTTCTCTGTGCAACTCACACAGACCCAGTTTTCGGAGAGATGGGAACGGGATGCGAGGAAGAGAGGGGGCGGGGGGTGGCTGTCGATGGTGGCGATTAAATTGGGGTGGAGGAGTAGCGCGAGAGAAGGGTTAATTTTCTTTTCACAAACACAGGCACGCATTCTTGCAACATCTATCCCCACCACACACACACACACACACACACACACACACACACACACACACGAGCGCGCGCGCGCACACACACACGCGCGCGCTCACACACACGATGGAAAAAGACCCTGGTAGGAAAAAGCCAGCCGGAAAGACAAGCTTTTCCTTTGAGATGCTGCCACAAATGCACACTCACACACCCCTCTCGGGCGACTCCAGCCCTCCGCTAGTAACAGCAGCTACCAAATAACTTTTGCATCCGAGCCTTTGCTGGGCCGCTTTAAGTGGCTCCCGGGCCCCGGGGAAGCTTGCATGGTCACCGAAGCCCTTTAAAAATGAAACCAGGCTGGCACAGCTGCAGCCGCTCTCCCCCCCGCGCGCCCGCCGGCTCTCCCCGCCCGCCTTACCCCGGCTCGGAGCAGCTTCCCGGAGCGCAGACCCGGGAGGCCGAGGACCGCCGCCCGCGGGCGCTCCGCCTGCCCTGGCCGGCGCTGGGTGGGGGCGCCGGCCGGAGGGCTGCGAGCCGCGGCTCCTCGCCGCGCCGCTCCCGCTGCCGCTGTGGCCGCCGCCGCCGCGGCCGTCAGATCGGGGTTGGGGAGCCCTCCGGCCCCCGGGGGGGCCGCCCGCAGCCGTCCCGGAGACGCGGGCCGGGGGAGGGGGCCGCCCGCGCCGCCCGCATCGCCCGCCCCGGGCCGAGCGGGAGGTCGCCTCTAACAAGTGCAAACTTTTTGGGCCCCCTGGGCGGCTCGGAGAGGACCGGTGCGCGGGCACCGGGCAGCCCCCCGCCCGGGTGGGCTTCGCGGCTGCTCGTCGGGGCGCCGGGGCATCCCCCCAGGCGCGGCGCGGGCCAGATGGCGGGGCGCTTCACCGCCCCCCTGCACTCCGCTCCAAGTTAATGCCGAGGCTAAATCCTCTTGCCATCTCTCACGATCACCATCGGGGCTTTTATCTCTCGGTCTGATCCGGGCTGCGTAACTTCCTCTGTGTGGCTTTAACACACCATCCCACCACGGAGCAACGGTCTTCTTAAAGGTGCAGGAAGGAAATACTGCGAGACTCGGGGGACGCGCCACGGCCCGGGTAGGGGCGCCGCCAGCAGGGGCGTCCTGGCGGGCCCGCGGCCAGGGTGGCCCCAGCAGGCGGCCGCGGGAGCGAGCCTGCTCTGGGGGGGTCGCTGCCTAAACATCTCCTCCCGGCTCGGGGGCCGGCGGGTCGGTGCGCGCAGAGCGCATCCTCAGCCGGCACGGGTCAGGCGCCGCGGGGCTGCAGCTTCCTTTTCCAAAACCCTGGGGCCTGACGGGGTGCCAGCGCCCAGGGGTGTGGGGGCTGCCCCATCGGCACCAGGGAGGGGGCCAAATGAGTCAGTCCACCCACCCCCAACAGCCAAGGGCTCAAGCCTGCCGCTCTGACTCCCTCTGTGAAGTGCTGCCACCCAGAAGGCCCCAAGCAGTGGGTAAAAGGGTGGGTGGGTGGATTTGGGGAGATGGGGAGGGGGAGCGATCTGAGCGCACAACCAGAGCCTGAATACCAGCTGACACATCGCCGCCTCCACCCTGATGGGCCCTGCTTTTGATGAAGCCAAGCCAGCTCCGGAGGGAGTGCAGAGTAGGGGGGCAGGAGGGGCCTCACTCCTGGCAAGCATGGGAGGGGAGCGGGGAGGACTCCTGCAGGGGGTCCGGGCAGAGGCCAAGGAGTTGGCAACACTGGGCAGCCCTGGGCTCTTGAACCCGCCTGGAGGTTTCCTGCCGCGCCGTCTCCCAGGGCTGTGCAGAGAGCTTCCTCCATCTTCCAGGGGGGACATGTGGATTTCAGGTGCTCCTGGCCTCCTCCAGGGTGGGTTCTCACTGCAGTGCTCAGGCAGCCAGCCCTGCGATTTGGATGCATCAAGAACAAAGAGCCCGAGGGCAGAGAGGGAGAGGGACTGGTCCAAGGTCACAGAGGGTGTCAGGAACAGGAGCAGGATGGGTCACCTTAGGGCCCCACCCCTCTGCCTCCACTTACCTCCACCTTGACCCTTTCCTGCTGTTGGTTCCCCCCTTGGCTTGAAGAGGGGGCCCTACTGCTGAAAACCATTTCGGCTATTGTCACAAAGCAGGCAGACGATGCAGAATCAGAGACTGTCATCTGCTTTAATAATAATAATAGTAACAATAATTTAACATTTATTGAACACCTGTTTTATGCCAGGCTTCATGCAAACTGGTTTATGTGCATCAGCCGCTGATTCTTCCCAGTGGACCCATGACTTAACTCCTATTAGCAAAGTCCCAAGTTATAGATGAAGCTTAGAGATGGTCGGTAGCTGCCCAAGGTCACACAGCTAAGGGAGACTCTGGCCTGGGAGGCAGGGCTCTCTGGCTCCCAGGTGGTACTCTGTCACTGCCTGGCTTACTGGTTAACTTGGGGGCACAGCACAGATTGCTTTGGGGCCTCAGTTTACCCATTTGTGAGATGTGAATCTTTCCTTTTCCACAGAGGGTTCAGAACAAGGCCTTCGAGTGCCTCCTCCTATACCCACTCTCAGATCCCTCTCGCTGGAGAGGGGCTCACCCCACAAAGATGTCTAGGGGAGCAGATCCATGCCAACCCGGGTCACCTGCTCCCTGGCCTCAAAGCATCTAGCAGGAGGCAGCTCCTCAGAGGTGGAGGACAGATCTCAGCATTTGGTTTTTAGGCACCAGGCCTGCAGGCAGCAGTGAAAGGCACAGTGTGGGGCTTCTGTGTAGGCACAGTGAGTGATGACCTGGGGGTTGGTCCTCAGCCTGCTGTCGCCCCCAGGAGGGGTCATCAATTCCCTGGAAACACCCTACTCCTCCATCATCGCAGACACTAGATGCTGTGGGGAACAGCCAACAAGACGTGGAGGAAGATGATTCGAATTTGTGGTTCATCTAAATACAGTGGAGGGGCCTGGGACGCATCCTGTTGTTATGGTTTAAGTGACCCACATGCAAAGCTCTGGGCCACTGGAAACAATGTTTACAACACCTCTCCAGCCCTGCTCTTCCCAGTCCTTCCTGCCTTGCCAACAAGCTGGTGCCAACAGACTTTTTCAGGGACCCATCTGGAAACTATCTTCTGGTCTCCCCATTGCCAGACCCTGGAAATTATGGTATGGTACAAAGAGCACTGACCTGTGTCGGGATATGGGGCTTTTCTCCGTTCAGCCCCTAACTAGGTGTGTGGCCTGGGGTCATCACTTCCCGGCTGCCAGCCTCAGTTTCCCCATCTGCATAATGAGAGGTTTGCCCAGGAAGGTGGTCCCTTTGCGATGATCCTGACAGCAGCCGATGGCAGCATCCAGAAGACCCAGCTCCTGTCAAGTGAACTATAAAGATGGAAAACAAATAGGATTCTGGCCGTGTAGGGACCAGGTGGCCAAGGGACGTTCATTTTAAAACTTCATCAAGGTAACTTATGACAAATGACCTTTTCCTGGTAGTAATGAAACGAGGCTGAGCACCAGGGGCTGGAAAGTGTTAATGAATCTCCTCTCCCCCCACCAAAATAAAATGAAATAAGATGAAAATCCTTGTTGCCGACCCCCACCTCTTGGGAGCAGCCCAACCATCCTCCTCAGGGGTGGGGTTTTGGCTCCGAGACACAGCTTTAATTTGAATTGTGTATGTCAAATCTTAGTATCAAAAAGCGTCTGCAGAACAATGCATTTAATTTTATTCCATCTATGTTTTTTCAAGGCTATGTATAAAATAAAGATACCAAAGTATGAACAGGAGAGATGGGGGGATGACGTGTTTTATTATATACATGATCTTCCTGTGTTGCTTGACTCCTTTACAATGAGGAAATCTGCATGGATGGGGTAGACGAGTAATAGGAAATTATAAAGTCACACGCAAAAATGATCTAGTAGCTTTGCAATGAGAGGTAGCAGATGAGGTCTGGGCCCTCTGGCAAATCCTGCTGCAGACACACAAAAGGACAGACAGATAAAATGAGCTACTGATTAAAGTCAAGTGTAAGCTCAAGACCCCCCCCATCGTGTTTTCACCCTTTGCCTCCTTCACTCCGGTCTCTGTTATGCCAAACCGAGATTTTGATTTGTCCCCCTGACCTTGAGCAGTTTGCGATGCAGCTGTGAGTAGTAAGATCCTGGGAACTAGCCCAGGACCGTCCAGGGGTTTGTTCAAGCCATCCCTGGGCCGCTTACTTCCGCAGCCAAGGCAGGGGAGAGAGGGAGCAAGACCCAAGCCCAGGGCTTTCCCCAAGGTGACACCTCCAGGCAGTGGCAGAGCCTTCAAGAAGCACCCTGACTCCTCCCTGCCAGTTCCCCGCTCTAATCTCCAGACCATACTTCCATTAATTATTATTACTGTATTAATCATACATGTGATTAATTCAGTAATGGTGATTCATAATTGATTGCATTTTATATGGCGCCTTTCGTCCACACATCTCCCAAGATGTGCACTGCCTACAACAAGAGACACATAAAGCTGAACGTGTTCTTTGCTTGCCTGCATTTTGTTGGATAAACTTCTCTTTGCAGAGGCAGGGGGCTAATGGTTTTGGGGCAGACCGGGCTTGCCAGCTCCGTGCCCATCTCCCTGGGTAGTGTAGCTCACGCAGTGCTCTCCCAGCTGGGGGCTCCTGCTGCACCCTGCCTTGCCTGGCGGTGGCCATGCCCTGGTGGCCCTGCAGACCCCATTCCCCTGGCAGGTAAGTCTGCCCGGGACCCAGGCTCCTGGGCAAAGCTGGCTTGGGCTCTGTGGAGAGGTGGTACCACAGCGGCACTGGAGGAGGGCTCTAGAACTTGACTTGCTGGGTAGGAGTCCTACCTCTCCTGTTAATCAGCTGTGTGACCTTGAGTAAACTACTGCCCCTCTCTGCCTCAGTTTACCCAAACAAAAAATGGGATTGACAAAAGTATCTTTCCTCCTAGGGTTATTATAAAACTGACATGCAATGATGCACACAAAGGGCTTCATACCTCGCGCATAGTAATTGCTGGATCAATGGGAGCAGTAATGGGGGTTGGAGGCCTGGTTCCAGCAGCAGCTCTGTAACCGGGCTGCTCTCTTCCCTTCTCTGGGCCTCAGTTTCATCTGCTGTAAAATGGGATGACCAGTCAGCTTCGAGGGTTAATTCCAGGTCTTAAATGGGCACATGCTATAATAAAGGTTGGGATTCAAGGCTTCAGAGGCAAGCAGCCCTGGGCTCACACTCCTGCTCACCATTTCCTAGTTATGTGACCTTGGGTAATGGACTCACCTTGCCAAGCCTCAGTTGTCTGCTCTGGAAAATGGGCATAACAACGGTATCCAGTGCCTAGGCTTGGTATAAGGATTTAATGAGCTAATGCTTGAGAACTGTTTGGCTTCTAGAAAGTGCTTAACACAAGGTGGCTCTGGTATTCCACACCAGGCATGGTGCACAGCACGTTACTTATGTTCTCACATTTCTGCTTTACTACCACCCTATGAAAATGCTCTTATCTTCTCCATCGTTCAGATGAGAATACCGAGGTTGAGGAGCCTGTCCTGGGTGATTTGGTTAGGGCCGCATCAGTATTTGAACTCAGGCCTCATGGCTGGGCTCTCTGATGTATGGTCTCCCCCCATCCCAAGCCCTGCTGGGATCCTGGGGTCCACGTGAGAAGGTCCCATTCCTGAGCCCCAGACAGCATGGCAGGACAGTGCTGGTGAACGCCAGCCCAGGAGGAAGAGCCTGGTTCCTCC